GGACAACTTATGGGGCTTGGTTTGTTGTTTCCTAAAGGGATGTAAAAAACCTCTCCGAAGTACTCGTACATGACGACAGGCTTCTTCTTGCCCAATTTCTTCATCTTTCTCCTAACGTCAGTTCTTTCTGCACAGCTTCCGGTCTTCTTTGTCTGGATGAATACTTCCTTCCCCCGGGGAAAAAGGTCCTCAAGTTGGGACCAATGGATAGCCAGCTAAAGCATAACTTAGAAGAAGCAATAATGATGGTGGCAGTGTTGCATACCCCGACGGTCGGCGGCCCTTAACTGGTCGGCACCTACCGGTCGGGGGTCGTAGGAACCCCGCAAAAAAAAAAAAAAGAAAAAAAAAGGTGTCCGGAAAAAAAAGAAAAGTTTGTGTACGCAAGGATGGCACAGATAAATCGAGAAATGGTCCAAAATTTTGAATATGGTCGAGGTGCAGGCCATGAACATGGTTGAGGTTGAGGGAGGTACACTTCCGGTGGCCTATCTGGGGATCAGCTGTTTCGGGGGGGGAAACAAAAAAAAGTTTGTGTGGTAAAAAAAAAAAGGAAAACAAAAAAATCAAAGTAAGTCACCCCCTTTTGAACCCCTTTGAGCCCCTTCAAGCCCCATTTATATTCCCCTTCCCCTCAATGGACGGCACTGAAAAACGGAAAAGAGCCTGGATTTGGGCTGTTTTCAGTGGGCGCAGAAAAAGCCCCACTGACGATAGGAAAAAAATTCCCAGAGTTTTACATGCCAGAGGGTACCCTTGGCAGGTGGACAGCTGGGCGACCTGCACGGGTGCCCGGCTATGCACGCCTGGTAACCTAGCTTGTTCCTGCAGGGCTACGTGCAGAGCTTCGAGTGCAGTGAATCTCACGTAGTTCCCCCTCTTCCCCCCCCGTCCTTAATTCCCCCACACAGAGGATCTGATCTTGAGGCAACTTGCTGCGAGTTGATGGTGGTGTTGGTGCTGATCCTGTACGCTTTGGTGTAATTGCTTTCCAGAGAGATGCTGCAAACTGTCAGATCAAGATCAGCTGTGGATTACAAGAAGGCACATGCTGTGGCGAATCAGCGGGTGAGAATCTCCAGCTTTCTATTCCGAAATGTCAGAAACCGTAAACATCAATGGTGTTTTGCATTGCAGTTTGAAATTTGAATAGTTTAGAACTCTGGGCCGAGATTGGAGTTGTATGTCTAGGAGATCTCATATAAAGTAGACGGTATAAGTGTGCTGTCCAAGCGTTAAGGGAACGGATAAATAGATAAAATAAATGAATGCGCAATGATCCCACGAGTTCACTCTGCTTCTCACTCCAGACTGTATAAGTGTGCCAGCCAAGCATTAAGTGAACAGATAAATAGATAAAATAAATGAATGTGCTATGATCCCACGAGTTCGCACTGATTCTCACACCAGACCGGTTGCACACGTCATTACACCGAGCTCCCAACATGAGATGCAAACCAACGCATGACGAGAACACTTTGGATTGTTCGCAAATTGCTCGGAAACGACGGAAAGTCTTATACAACGAAGTGTCATCTCTCTCTCTCTCTCACACACACACACACACACACACACACACACACACACACACACACACACACACACACACACACACACACACACACACACACACACACACACACACCTGTCTCTTATACACATCTAGATGTGTATAAGAGACAGCACACACACACACACACACACACACACACACACACACACACACACACACACACACACACACACACACACACACACACAGAGTCCGTATGCTACTGTCAGGCTGCACTCTCTCTCTTTCTGAATGTCTTCCTTCCACTTCGATGCCTCTCTCGGTCTCTTAACTAAGCTATGGTGCCCGGCCACCACCGAATACTCTCTATGACTGTCTCTTAACCTTACTTGACGCTTGGTAGCACAAGACGGCAGTCGTGCTTCCGCAACAAGCGCGAATGGAAAACTGTGGTAATGCCTTGCTGCTGCTGAACTTTGTACTTCGCTGCAATTCCCCACCTTGATGTTTTCTCGTACCTGTAGCTGCCTTGCATCTGGTAGTTTCTATGACTTTCGAGGGACTGAGCTGCCGACTGAGTCGCCGACTGACTGACAGACGGACTGACTGGACTGACGGCCCTACTGGGTCCTGCAGCACTTACCGGACTCAACCTAGCTACCCTATCAAATCGATGGGTACTATGGTACATGGGACACTAAGACTGCGGGATTGGTACTGCTGGGATGTCTGAATAAATAAATAAATAAAGAAATAAATAAAGGGAAAATTTTCGAAATGCCCCTCCGGCCTCCATTTATTTGCAGTATGCCCCTGTGACGGCCGACTTACCCTGTCGGGCCCCTCTGACAACGATTGAAGTTTTCAAAACCCCCCTGGCGTTGTTTGGGCCTGAAATATGTTCAATATGCCGCTACCGCTACTGGTTCCAAATTTCCAGTATTGCCTGGTAGCTCCCCTCCCAGGGCCAGGGGAACGGCGGCAAGTGCCACCAATGGCCACAGGGGCATGCTGGAAAGTTGCACCCGTCACTGACAGGGGCCTGCGGGAAACTTCAGAGGCCCCAGGGGTACGCCAGGGTAAGTCAGCCATCGGAGGGGCATACTGCAAATAAATGGAAGTCAGAGGGGCATTTTGAAAAAAAATCCATAAAAATAAATAAATAAATAAATAAATAAATAAATAAACAAATTGTTACGATCCTGGCCAATTTCGAAATATACAAACATCAGAAAGTACAATGCCGTCCAATTGCAAAAAGAAATGATTGAACTTGAGAGGAGAGAGAGGGAAAGAAGAAGAAGAAGTAAGAAAGAAGAAGAAGATGATGTACTCCAGCATAGACCAATGACAAGGCTCTTCTTCCTCGCCAACCAATCTCCTCCTCCTTATCTCCTCCCCTCTTATTCAAACAAGAAATAACAATAATAATGTTGAATGGCTGAACCAGAATCAATGTCCGAATCCCACTTCTACTGCAGGCACAACATGAGGTCCACCATAGCCATGGCCACCCTTCCTCTTCCTCTACATACAGGCCGAGGTTATGGCGGAGTACTGAGGGCTCTCCCTCCTGTCCAAAGGACAGCCCAAAGCAGCTATGTCGCTGCCCCACTTCAAGCAGCTATGCCGCTGCTCACTGAACCACCATGCCTGACTCTGCCCCGAGCTTCCTTGGTGCGGCACCACCCCCACTGGGGCCTTCCAGATGCAGCGCCAAACAAGGTGATGAAGATGGTGTCTACCATAGCCAGGTAAGTACCCCGCCACTCTTCTCCTTGGTCCCCTTCTCCCTCCTCCTCCTACCGGTAGAGCTCCACCATAGCCAAGGTGGAAGCTCCCGGCTTCTTCCTCCCAGCAGCGCTGTAGTACCCAGCGCCACTCCAGCCAGCGCTCCAGCAGCGTGTCGCCAAACTTGCACACTGAAGAATGAGGCCGAGCTCTTGCCTCGGCCTCTTGATATAGCGGCCTGCTTGCCTCCTGGGCGGTGACTTCGAGGCCGCTCGGCCTCCCCAGCAACCGGTACCTCCTCCCTTTCGGATGGAAACATCATTGCAGACTCTGATATTGCCCGCACAGGCTCTAGACTCAGACTGGATGGACTGGTACCGGCCTAGACCTAGCCTACCGCTACTGGGCCTCTAAAAATGCCAACTTTGTCTTCTTCTGCTCGGCCTCGAGTACCCGGCACATCTACTGCTACTGGGTGCGGTACCGGCCTACCTGCTACTTGAGTGTTTTTCCGCTGCTCTAAGCACCGCGGGCCCCTGGCTCCGCTACTTGAGTGTGTCCCCGGCTGCAACCCTCAGTGCCACGACCACAGGTAAGTACCGGCCCTACGGGCCTGCCAAACAAGCAAGTACCCTTGCGGGTCACACACACACTCATGCCGACAAGCACTCAGACAGGCACGCAAGTCCACAGGCACAGACACATACAGACTTAGAAAACACAGCAGAATGCGGGAATCTCAGCAAGGCATCCATTCCATCGGCAGAACTTCAGAAATCAGCAGTGTTCTCAGTCTGTTTTATGGCGGG